TAACAATAAAAAGTGAAGCATTCTCAAGAATATTTTTGAAGTAATATAGTTTTTGAGTATTTCTAATTATAAGACTTTTCTCATCTAACTGGAGTTATGCTTCATCCTCTATAAGGTTTACTTGGCAATTAAATTCAAAAACTTTTGATTATATTCCAATCAAATGAATAATATCTAAATCATAATTTAAAAATAAATAAAATAGAAATTTAGTGTCATTTTATTAATATGAATTCCTTTACTTAAAGCGTAAGAAAATATTTTGAATAATCAAATAGAAAAAAGTTGGAAGTTAAGGTTTATGATTCATTCAAAAAATTAATCTAAAAGGGAGGTTTACTGAACAAGGATAAAATGATTGTATATTAAGACAAAGATGAAATTTTGAGAAAGTAAATAACTTTTTCTAACTTTAATAGAGAATACTTTCAAAACTATTAAATGAATCCTTTTTTATTTTAGAATATGGGAGTAGATTTAATATCTAAAATGGTTCTGCGAATATGACTAAGACTGGAAAATATTCACTAAATGGATAGCAATTTGGAATGGAGAAATAATGACTTACGTTGGTGGTATAGTCAAACTGTAGAAATAAGAGCATAAAACAAAAATGAAATAAATAAGGATTATGGAAATAACCCATTTAGAATTATAGGAAGTATAGGATATAAGAATATTAAAATAGAAACGTTAAATTTTTGAAAGTGGAGAATATACAGATGATGAACAAGATGGAAGATGGAATTACATTAATTAAGAGCCTAACTCAATTATGTATAAAATCTTTTAATTGATTAGTATAGGGGGTGGATTATTTTGTTAAGGTATAAAGATTGGAAAGTGGAGAGAGCAGGATGGTGGATTTATGATGATAAATAAGTAATCTATAGTGGCGAATATAAAAATGGTAAAAAGGTTGACATTTGGAATCTAGAGCACGAAGGAGATTAATGTAAGAAATAAAAATAAAAGGATATAGTGGTGGCGGATTTTATTATGAAGGAATTAAGATTGGCACGTGGATTGAATTGGATGATGGATCTTATCTTGGTAAATAACTCATCTGCAGTGGTAAATATAACAATGGTAAAAAGGTTCCTAATTGGTGTAAAAATATGATGGAAATTTGTTGAAAAAAAAAGAAATATTTAGTGAAATAGAGGTGGTGAGGGATCTTATTATGATGGAGTAGAGGTTGGAAAGTAGATAGAGTTATATGATGGACTTTCTACTTAACAATAAGTAACCTATAGAGGGGAATATAAAAATGGTAAAAAGGTTTGTTAATGGGATATTTAAGGAAATACAATTGTTATAAGACATATAGAACCTTATAATGTTGGTGGATCATATGATGAAGGAATTGAGATTGCCAAATGAATTGAGTTGGATGATGATTTTATTTGAAAAATTAGTTACGCATAGTGGTGAATATTAAAATGGAAAAAAGTAGGTTGGTGGGATATTAAGTTTTGTGATTCATTTGGATATAAATTAAAAATGAAAACAATAATGTATACTGTCCTTAGTGGTGGGGGATCTTCTGATGATGAAGGTGGGATATTATAGGTACGACACTTATGAAGAATAATTTGTAATGTAAATAATCAATTATGAATTTGTTATAGTGGAGGGGGATAATATAATAGAATAGGTGTTAAGTTTGGTGAATGGTGTGTGTTGGATTAAAAAAGTTTTATTGTGAGAATCTAATAATTCATAGTGCCGAATACAAAAATGGTAAAAAAATTGGATGTTGGAATTTATATAAGCTCTATAATGGCACTAATTGTACAATGTAAATATCTTATACTAAATTGTGGCAGCGGTGGTGGAGAATATGAAAGTAATGGTGATGAAGTTAAGATTGGCATTTGGAAGGAGAAAGTTTTCAAATTTGGACCTGATTTATTTTTGAATTACATAGGCCTATATAAAATAGTAAAAAAGTTGGTAATTTAGAGATTATGGCCTGGCGAATATACAAAATGTAAATTATTGTATAAAAATGGTTCTTAGTGGTGGTTGATCATATGATTACAAGAAAAAGGTGTAGTGGAAAGAGTTGGATGGCTAGTTTACTAAGAAAAATTTTGCTTCTTCAAGGTGAATTTGATCCACATAGTAAAAATTGGAGCATGGTTGTAAGTGAATTAGGATTATCAAAAAGAAATAAAAATACACAGAAAAATCAAATATATAATTGAAATAATATTTTTAAATAATTGTAATTTCATTAATAATTTTTTTTATTTATTGGTTTATTATTAAGAATAATAAGTTTTATAATTTTAAAAAATTATTATACTTCAATTAAAAGATATTGTATTGTAGAATTTATTTGAACTATTTAATAAATCTTGGACATTTTAATAGTGTTATTACAGATGAAAGCAAAGCCGAATTAATTTTTAGAAAATGGAATAAATAATT